TCCTTCCTTCCTTCCTTCCTTCCTTCCTTCCTTCCTTCCTTCCCCCCCTCCCTCCCTCCTCCTCTCCATAAATTCCACTCCCTTCTAGCACTGATGATGTTACCTAGTTGGGTCATGAAACGTTCCCGCTAGAAAATTACCAAGCTCAGAGAACACCAAGGACCCCATATTAACTAGGTAATTGGAGGCTGGTCCTTCCTGCTCAGCCCTAGACAGAAGGAAGCAAGCTCAGACCACATCTGGACGCCTTGCCAAGGAAATGGCAGCCCCCCCCCCCCCGCAGGAGAGGCTCTACTGCCAACTCTTTGGCTCTCTTCTTCTTTCCAGGCTCTGGCAGAACAACAGAGAGCTCAACAACAAAACGCCCCACAGCAACCGCAGGGGCAGCAACAACAGCAGCAACCCCAGCAATCCGGACAGCAAGCCGCTCAGCCAATGGCGGGGCAGCAAGGGCAGACTCAGCCCCAGGGGCAAGGCCAAGGCATCCAGCAGCCCCAGGGGGGGCTGCAGGCAGCCGCGACCACCGTGGCAAACACCGCTGTGTTGGTAAGAGCCTCCCGCGAGCTGGCCAAGAGGCCGGGAAAGGCTCGGGGTAGGCAACCGAGGGTCCCCAAAGCAACCCCTGGATTTTATGCGTGGCTTTTGGGGAGATTCCTCTCCCTACTCGGAGGTTCGGAGAGATTACACGATTCACGCTAAATGGTGTAGCGGTGAGGCAAGGAGACGGGGGAGTTCTAGCCCTGCCTTAGGCGTGAAAGCCAGCTAGGCGACTTTGGGCCAATCAGGAGGACACTGTGAGTTGTAGTCCCACTTTGGGCATGGAAGCCGGCTGGGTGACTTTGGCCCAATCACCTGGCGACAGTGAGTTCTAGTCCTGCCTTAGGCATGAAAGACAGCTGGGTGACTTTGGCTCAATCATCTGGTGACGGTGAGTTCTAGTCCCGCCTTAGGCATGAAAGCCGGCTGGGTGACTTTGGCCCAATCAGCAGGAAACTGTCAGTTCTAGTCCTGCTTTAGGCATGAAAGCTGGCTGGGTGACTCTGGGTCAATCATCTGGATGTGGTGAGTTCTAGTCCTGCCTTACCCATGAAAGCTGGCTGGCTTGGCCCAACTCACCTCACGGGATTGTTGTTGTGGGGAGAATAGGAGGAAAAAGGAATAACACATACGTTCGCCGCCCTGAGTTACTAACACTGACCCCATCAGGCCCATTAATGCTGGGAAAATATCTGGAGGGGATCAGGAGAGTCTGTCCCTGCTTCCTCTCATACCAATGTGGATGCCTTCTCTCTCCAGGCTGGAACCATGAAACCCACAGTGACTGGGACCAGCATACAGACAGGTATATTCAGCCAGTCCTTGCAAAGGGGAAAGTGGCAGAATACATGTTCCCACCCTCCCCCCCCCACACACAATTTCTGCCCCACCTGCAACCCGAGTGACCTCAGCTTTCCTTTCAGCCACCGTGAGCGTCAACACCATGACTGGGGTCCCCGCGACGACGTTTCAACCCATCAACAAGCGGTTGGCCTCACCCATTATACCCGGGACGCTGGCGGTGAGTGGTCGCTCCTCGGAGCAGAAAATTAAGGCAGTTAATTCTGTAAAAAAGGACCGCTTTCTATTAAAGCGGAGGGATCTCCTTTGGAGGAAGAGATAGGATTGGAATTAGGGTGCTTCGGTGCACAAGTCATCCAGATGTTCAGATTGGATCTGGTATTTTTGTCCACCTGTCGAGTCCTTCCCAATGACCTGGGATAGGCAGATGTGGATGTGTTACAAGTACCGTCGCAGGATGTAAGCAGTTCTGAATAGAGCTGCCTTTTGCAATTGACTGGTGCTGATTTTGTCAATGCTGGCTGCTGCTGCTGCTGCTTCTTCTTCTTCTTCTTCTTCTTCTTCTTCTTCTTCCTCTTCCTCTTCCTCTTCCTCTTCCTCTTCCTCTTCCTCCTCCTCCTCCTCTTCCTCTTCCTCTTCCTCTTCCTCTTCCTCCTCCTCCTCCTCCTCCTCCTCCTCCTTCACACAGTCAGCCAGATGTTCAGACTGGGTGTGGATGTTTGATGGTGTTACAGATATTGTCAGAGGATGGAAGCTGTTCCCAGTAAAGCTGCCTTTTGCAATTGACCAATGGCAAATTTGTCAATGCCAATAGTGCTCAAGTGGTGCTCCAGTTGTTTTGGGATTGCACCCGAGGCTCCGATTACTATTGGTACCACCCTTGCTTGCCTGTGCCACAGTCGTTCTGTTTCTATTTGTAGGTCTTTGTATTTTGTTACCTTCTCCAGTTCTTTCTCGTCTATTCTGCTGTCTCCAGACACCGCCATGTCCACTATCCAGACGTTTTGTCTTTCTTACCGACAATTGCTAAATTGTTGTTGTTATCAAATCTAGTTCAGTGATAACACGAACCTCTATTTAAGTAAACTTGAAAGTGGTTTGGCTGCATTGATTTAAAGACATTCCCTATTATATTATTATTTCGGATCGAAATCCCGTCCTCCTAAGGTTGGCGTTGTGGGTTAACAAGGGACGGCGTCACCCTGTTGGATGAAGGTGGCCAAACTGTTAACAGATGTGACCGAAGAGACTTGAGAGATAGGAAAGATTCAAGAGAAAAATTGGCCCTGAATCCGACTTTTCAGCCGGGCAACCGGCATCACAGCTCGCAGTTCCCTTCCGGCGAGGCGACTTCGGCCGCCAATCTGCCAGGCTTCCATATTTTCTCCTCCTTTTTTAGACCTCAGCAGCAGGAACCACCACTGGTCAGGTGACCCATTCCCAGCAGAGAGGCGCCAGCAGCACGTCGGTCACCTCCGCGGAACTGGTGACGCTCGCGTCTACACCGGGAGTTCGAGCGGTCACTTCGGTGACAGCTTCAGCTGTGGTGACCACTAACCTGACCCCAGTCCAGACCCAGCCGAGGTCTTTGGTCACTCAGGTGACCCCAGGTAAAATCTGGAAGCGGGGGGGCTACATCCTTGAGGGTAGCGTTTTTCAACCTCGGCCACACTCTGCCGCAAGTGTTTTTTAACCTCAGCGAGGTAGAAACGGGGGCCACACAGTTCCCCTGGGCTGCACGTTGATTTTTATTTTATTTTATTTTAAATAACACTCTTCTATTTTCTGATATATAAAAAGAAACTTTAAAATGAGAAACGTTTTGTAATATTTTGTTGAATTTCTTTGCCGCCTATCCTGCCCTGGGGCCGTTCTACCCACAGTTATAAGATAAGATAACCTTTATTGTCATTTTTTTTTTTTACTGTGGGCACAACGGCGCACATCAAAAGTGAAATTTAGTTGCCCGCTCTCAAAGCGCCAAGTCCAAAAGTGGTTTCCAAGTAGAAACAAAATCAGTCGTGTTCTTTTCTTCAATGAAAGCAGTCCATTTAGCCACCTCTGCCACTTTGTTTTCCCCCTCTTAATTATTTTTTTCTCCCTCCAGCGGCTACAGCCAGCGTGCAGCTCTCCGGAAAGACCATCCCTCAAAATCACTTCCAGCTCCTACGCCAGCAGCAGCAGACAGGAGGACAGGTCCAGGTTCCCCAAGGCCAAGGCCAAGCCCCATCACAACCCCAGATTAAGACCGTCGGCAAGATCTCCCAGGTGAGGATCAGGAGGGTCTCTGCCTTTGTGGTTCAGAGGCTGGGCGATCCCTCCCTCCCTCTCTCCCAGGGCTTCAGCTTCCAAAGAAGCCGGGAATAGGCGTGGAAATGGAAATAATAGGAATAGAATAGGATGGGATGGGATGGGATGGGATAGAATAGAATAGAGGATGGACTAGAATAGAATAGAATAGAATAGAATAGAATAGAATAGAATAGAATAGAATAGAATAGAATAGAATAGAATAGAGGATGGGATGGAATGGGATAGAATGGAATAGAATAGAATAGAATAGAATAGAGGATGGGATGGGATGGGATGGGATAGAATGGAATGGAATGGAATAGAATAGAATAGAATAGAATAGAATAGAATAGAATAGAATAGAGGATGGAATGGAATGGGATAGAATGGAATAGAATAGAGGATGGGATGGGATGGGATGGGATGGGATAGAATAGAATAGAATAAAATAGAATAGAATAGAATAGAATAGAATAATAGAATAGAATAGAATAGAATAGAATAGAATAGAGGATGGACTAGAATAGACTAGACTAGAATAGAATAGAGGATGGGATAGAATAGAATAGAATAGAATAGAATAGAATAGAATAGAATAGAATAGAATAACAGAGCTGGAAGGGACCTTGGAGATCTTCTAGTCCAACCCCCTTCTCAGGCAGGAAACCCTACACCCTTTCAGACAAGTGGCTGTCCAGTCTCTTTTTTCCCAGGGGTGCCTCCCCTTCCTGGCTGGGGAAACCATACAAGACGTTGGAATTTGCATTCTTTGCCTTCCTCCAACCAGGAGCAGCTCATCAAGTTCCAGAAGCAGAAGATGCAGGCAACACAACAACAAGCCCCCCAGCCCCAAGGAGCCCCCGGGGCCCAGCAGCAGGCAGCCCAGGTTCAGGTGCAGCAGCAACAGACGCAGCAGCTCACGGCAGTGGCGGCCTCCAGGCCAGGCGCCGTCCTTGCTGGCACCACAGTCACCGGCCTCCAGGTGGCCCGGCTGGTGAGTGACCGCTTGACCATCCCAGCGTGGTCCAGTGCTTTGCCGGGTCTTACAGGGCGGGCCCGTTCTCCCCAAAAGTCCATCTTCTTTTGTCACTGAATCTTACTGAGATTTTTTAGAAAGGGCAATAAAAGCTAAGACGAAGTTTTTAAAAAGTGCAAGAAGCAAATTAGTGAAAACAAACCCTCCCCCTTTAAAGGAAGCAGCTTCCCACCCCCATCACAGCAAGTGTAGTCCTTCACTTACGACCAGTTACTTAAGAGAGACTGTTTGCAGTTACGACAAACCCCAAAAAAGGCACTTAACGAGCCAGATTTGAAGTTACGACAGTTGGGAAGGGCTGGGCAATTTGGAGGATTGAAGTCAACCCATCTTAAAATGGCCACGATTGAGAAAGGTTGGCTTAAAACCTCGGCTGAACCAACCAACAGAGCTCCAGCAACCATAGAGTCTTATCTAGAGAAGCCAGACCCTAGGGAATTCTGGGAGTTGAAGTCCACCCGTCTTAAAGTTGCCCAGGTTGAGAAACACCGGTCTAGATCAGGGGTGTCAAACTGCCGGCCCGCGGCCCGGATGCATCACGAAGAAACCATGCCGGCAATGGGGAAAAAGTTCTGATATGTCACGTGTTTGACATGTCTGGTCTAGACCAGGGGTAGGCAACCTTGGCTCTTTGATGACTCGTGGACTTCAACTCCCAGAATTCCTGAGCCAGCCTGGCTCAGCTTAGAAACCTCTCCCTTTCCCCTCAGCATGGCTGGCTGAGGAATTCTGGGAGTTGAAGTCCACGAGTCACAAAAGAGCCAAGGTTGCCTGTCCCTATCCTAGACTAAACAGGCAAGACTTTGAACATAGAATAATACGCTGGAAGGGACCTTGGAGGTCTTCTAGTCCATCCTGCTGCTCAAGCAGGAGACTCTAGACCATTTCAGACAAATGGCTGTCCAATCTCTTCTTGAAAACCTCCAGTGATGGAGCACCCACAACTTCTGGAGGCAAGCTGTTCCACTGGTTAATTGTTCTCACTGTCAGGAAGTTTCTCCTTAGTTCTAGGTTGCTTCTCTCATTGATGAGTTTCCACCCGTTGCTTCTTGTCCTGCCTTCAGGCGCTTTGGAGAATAGCTTGACTCCCTCTTCTTTGGGGCAGCCCTTGAGATACAGGAAGACTACTATCACGTCCCCCCTCGTCCTTCTTTTCGTTAGACTAGACGTTCCCAGTTCCCGGCCTCTTGCTTTGCGCCTGTACAGTAATCCCGATTCCTTCCTGCTTAGACTCGTGTTGCTGCTTCTCAGCTTCAAGGCCAAGGCCAGATCCAAGGTCAGACGCCTCAAGCAGCCCAAGTGGCTTTGGCCAAGCCACCCGTGATGTCCGTTCCGGTGGTGTCCTCGGCAGGGGTTACCGCCCTCCCCGTCACCGTCTCTGGAATCAGCGTGGCGATTGGGCAGCCGCAGAAAGCAGCAGGTATTTGGGCAAAAAGGATTGGGGTGGGAAATGGGGCTGGGGGGAGGTCTTCAGTTTAGTGCAGGGGTAAGCAACCTTGGCTCTTTGATGACTGGTGGACTTCAACTCCCAGAATTCCCAAGCCAGCCTGGCTCAGCATGGAAACCTCCCTTTCCCCTCAGCATGGCTGGCTCAGGAATTCTGGGAGTTGAAGTCCACGAGTCATCAAAGAGCCAAGGTTGCCCACCCCTGGTTTAGTTGAACTCCTTGTTCGTTTGTTTATCCACTTCCTGTAGCTGCCCAGTCGATGAGTCTGGGTGGCTTGCAATTAAAAACATCCAGTATATATATATATACAGGTAATCCTCCACTTACAACCGTTCGTTTAGTGACGGTTCAAAGTTACGACGACACTGAAAAAAAGTGGCTTATGCCTTCTGCTCTTTGCGTCCCGCGCAGGAGGGCAGGCAGTGATGACTCAGCCGCTCCACGTCCAACAGTTTTTGAAGGTGAAGCAAGCTCAGCACCACCAGGCGGCCCAGCAGAAGGTCATCCAGCCACAGGTGGCCCAAGGACAGGCAGGCGTTCAGCAGAAGGTCAGTCTCCCTCCTCCTTCTCCTCCTTCAACTCCTAGCACTGATGATGTTACCTAGTTGGGTAATGAAATGTCTGCAAGAAAACAAGCAAGCTCAGAGAGCATTGAGGACCCCATAGTTGTCATTCTCCTCCTCCTCCTCCTCCTCCTCCTCCTCCTCCTCCTCCTCCTCCTAATAAAGCTGTCAGATATTGGATTATTTGAAAGCAGTCTGGCCAAAGTTTGATTTTTCTTCTCCTTTGCCTTCTCTTCCCTCCCTTCCTTCCTTCCTTCCTTCCCTCCTCCCTCCCTCCCTCTCATTTTCCTCCCTCCCTTTCTCCCCTCCCTCCCTCCCTCCCTCCCATTTTCCTTCCTTCTCTTCCTTCCTTCCTTTCTCCCTCCCTCCCTCCCTCCCATCTTCCTTCCTTTCTCCCTCCCTCCCTCTCATTTTCCTTCCTTCCTTCCTTTCTCCCTCCCATTTTCCTTCCTTCCTTCCTCCCTCCCTCCCATTTTCCTTCCTTCCTTTCTCCCTCCCTCCCTCATTTTCTTTCGTTCCTTCGTTCCTTCCCTCCTCCTTCCCTCCCTCTCATTTTCCTTCTCCTCCTCTTCCTCCTCTCTGCAAAACCCCATTTCTCCTCTTCCTCCCCTTCTCCTCCTCCTTCTCCCCCCATTCCTCCTCCTCCTCTCCACAAACCCCATTCCTCCTCCTCTTCCTCCTCCTCCTCATTCTTCTCTTCTTCCTCCTCCGTTATGTAAGGGTTCTTTTAGATTTCATCATCAGAAACGCATTCCTTGGAGAGCCCCCCCCCCCAAAATTGCCGTTCCTAGGGGAAGTTGACCCAATTGGAAGGTCCTCTCGGTCACTTCTGGGTCATGATGGAGGTCTGCCCGCGTTAGAGGGGAAGCGGCAGAGTCATCCACGTCTTAATTTCTTCTCCACAATTAACCCGGGTGCTTCCCCCCCACCCCTCCATCCTCTTGGAAAGGCAGATGAGTTGATCTTCCCGGCCAGTTTTAGGGCCTCGAACTCAGCTCCCTCCAGGTCTAGCCTAGGCAGACACCAATCCTTACCTTCCGTTCCTGGATCGTCACCATGTTAACGCCCAGCAGGTCACCGTCCAGACCCAACAGCCGGCATCTCAGCAGCAGAAAGTCTACGCCGCCCAGCCAGCCATCAAAGCTCAGTTCCTACCAACGTCGATTTCTCAGCCCCAGAAGTCGGGGGGGACGCAGCAGGTCCAGACCCAAATACAGGTAATGAACGCCCCCTGTCCCCTCCCCCTCCATTTCATTTCATTCCTTGGGAAGGGAGGGCCCTGGAAACCTTGGTGCTGAGACTCTTCTCTGCTTCCTCAACGTTTCCATCCGCCTTACCCCACCCCACCCCCCAGATGTGCGCAGGTAGTCTTCGACAACCGTCATTTAGCTTTCAATCACGGTTGTTCAGTTCTGAGGGGTTGCCAATGCAAGTCCTCGTGTGAAAATGCCCAATTTTTATGCCTTTTTTTTTTTTTGCAGCAGTTGTAACGTGAATGCTGCAGTCGTTTTGACAACCCATTATTTGCTACGTAGGATTTTTTTTTTTTTAAATTGGAAACCAGAATTAAACACCACCTACCAAACAAAAGTCGTAATTGAGGTGATTGCAGGACTCTGCAAACCGGCATAAAGATTGGGCCAGTTGCTAAGCGCCCCAAAACGTGGCTCTTTTGGGGGAGGGAGGGTGGCCATGAGAACTTCAAATCTGGGTCATAAGTCCCTTTTTCGGGATACGCTTTAACTTTGAACGGTCACTAAATGACCAGTCATAAGTCAAGGACTACCTGTAAGAACCCACGGGCCAGGTCTCCACATAAAGGTATCTAGTCTTTGACTGTAATAAACGTTGGCTTGGCTTGGCTTGGCTTGGCTTGGCTTGGCTTGGCTTGGCTTGGCTTGGCTTGGCTTGGCTTGGCTTGGCTTGGCTTGGCTTGGCATGGCTTGAGTTGAGTTGAGTTGAGTTGAGTTGAGTTGAGTTGAGTTGAGTTGAGTTGAGTTGAGTTGATGGAAGACAAATTAACCTGCTGCACGTTGTTGAATTGTGCACCCTCCAGCCCAACCCCCACCCACACACAATATCTTGCTCTTAAAGGTTGCCAAGATCCCACAGGTGGTCTCCCAACAAGCAGCGGTGGCTAATATCCAGCAGATGGTTTCGGTTTCCCAACAGGTAAGTGTTTTCTAGAACCGGTTGGCTCTTCCAGGTATGCCCAGCTGGAAGTGGCTTCCTCAAAGAAGGCAGCTGGGTCTCGAAGCTCAGTGTAGTTGTGTGGTCTCAGCTTGTCAGAAAGGTGTTCAAATTGGCCCACTTGGGACCAACTGCCCCAGGCAAATCTAAATTCATCTGATCCACCATTGATGGGCATCTTGTAGTCCTCCAGAGGTGGCTTTGAAGCAACTCCTAGTTGACCATCCTTGTGAAAGGCTGCCCGTAGTGCTAATAGGCCTGGTGGGCTGTCCTTTGCCAAGCCATTTTCCAACCCCTAATGAAAATAAGAGAAGGAGTTTGAGGTTGAGGTTTGCCAAAAGAGGAAACCAAAGGCAAGTCCACTGGGAGTTGTTTTTTTTAAAAGGCGTAGTAGATCCAACTTAGAACTAAGGAGAAATTTCCTGACAGTGAGAACAATTCACCAGTGCGACAGCTTGCCTTCAGAAATTGTGGGTGCTCCAACACTGGAGTTTTTCAAGAAGAGACTGAACAACCACCTGCCTGGGGTGGTTATAAGGTCTCCTGCCTGAGCAGGGGTTGGACTAGAAGACCTCCAAGCTCCCTTCCAACTCTGTCGCTCATAAAAACCAAGCATCTCTTCCTCAAGAATGCACAACTGTACGCCACAGTGGCCAAATATCTATTTCTCTTAGCTTGTTAGGGAGCATCCAGCGGCACCCAACCTGCCTTCCTTCACATCTCTTTGCTCTCCCCCACCACCAGGTCCAGGCTCAACCCCAAACGGTCACCTTGTCCCAAACCACAGCGGGACAACACCAAGTGCAGGTCATCCCGGCCACCACTGCCACGGCTCAGGTCGTCCCCCAGAAACTGATCCAACAGCAAGTGGTCACCACAGCCTCCCCTCAGATCCAAGCCTCGGTCGTGCCTGCCCAGGCCCCCGCCCCGTCCGACGGGCAGAGCCAGCAAGCGAAAGTGCAGATGAGAGCGCCCGTCCGATTAAAGGCTCCGAACAAACCCAGCTGAGTCCACCTTTTTTTTTTAACCGTAAGCCGCTACGCCAGGGAGAGCTCTCTCGGTGGTCTCCCATCCCGCCGTAGATCGGAGGCAGGGCGATAAAACCTCCACTCGTTCTGCGCCGGGAAGGGCCGTTTCCCCGTGCCTCTCCTCCAGACTTCTCTGCTTCCCGGGAGAGATTCGTGGATTGGAAACCCCCCCCGACTCCCGAGGAAACGCCGTTCTTTCGAACCCTCCGTTAGCCCGACCGCTCGTCAACTCTCAACTGCCCTCTTTGATGGAAACCACCCAGTTGCTTCTGCAGGGTTGGCGGCAACGCCCGTCGTGTCCTCGTCCCTGTCCGAAGGGGGAAATTCTTTTTTTTTTTTAGCCTCGTGGGGTGCAAAGCCGGGACACCCCCAAAGGGGGTGGGGGAGGGAGGGGGGAGGACAGCAAGGTTTGTCCGAAGCGCCCCCTCCCTCTCTCTCTGTCGAGCCGAGAAAATGTGAAGATTTGTAAGTATCTGTAATTATGCACCATAGTTCAGTTGCCATTTCAGGGGTGAGCCTTTTTTAAACGAACAAAAACATTCAATTGTGACCGGTTGGTTTGTGTGTGTGTGTGTGGGTGGGTGGGGGGGAGGCGTTTCGCTTACTGTTTTTTGCTTACTGGGTCTTTGTGTTCGTGCGTGCGTGCGTGCGTGTTATTTTTTTTTTTCCTTTTGTACAGAGAAGTCTTTGCTTTTGGAGCTTTCCGCGTCCCTTTTTTCACAATTTCAGATATTAAATGTACTAGACACGTGGTTGGTTGGTTGGTTGGTTGGTTGGGCTTTTTTCTTTTTTCAAGGTATTAATATTATGTGAGAGTAACTGTCTATTTCACGGTAGTCCGCCATTCTCGGCCCCTTCTTTTTTCATGGGTGAAAAGGAAAAAAAAAAAAAAATATTGTGTTTCGTCGCACATCCGATGTTGTTTTTTCTTGGTTTCGGTGGGGCTTCCGTGCTGAAGGAATATTTAACGTGCGAGTTTCCAGCGTTGGTTTTGGCCCTTTCTTTTGGCTAGTCTTGTTTTAAAAGTTCGGCTATATTTCCGTTGCAGAGGGATAAGAGGAGACACATTTGGGCAAATTATTATTTTTTTTCTTTTTCGTTAAAAGAGAGAATCAGCACCAAAATTTTAGACCTTCAGTTGTTTGAAATTCTTTCTTCTTCTTCTTCTTCTTCTTCTTCTTCTTCTTCTTCTTCTTCTTCTTCTTCTTCTTCTTCTTCTTCGCACAGTCAGCCAGATGTTCAGACTGGGTTTGGTATTTTTGTCTACCTATCAAATCTTATCTCCTCTTCCTCTCCTCCTCCTCCTTCCTCTTCTCTTCTTTCTTCTTTTCTTCTTCTTCCCCTCCTCCTCCTCCTCCTCCTCCTCCTCCTACTTATTGTAGCTAAAGTGGCACTCATGCCAAGCAGTCCTACCTCCAGATGTTCCCAACTTGAGGTCAACTGGTGGCCCCAAAACTTCGGCATCTCTGCTCTTTTGAACAGGCACAATTTCTTACCCTTTGTTACTGCTTCTTTGCTCTTCTAGTGCCATATCCTTTCTATTTGGAGCCTCTGGGGGTTTTTTTTTAGAAAAAGGTATGCTTTTTAAAACTATATATATATATATAAAAAAAACTTTCTACACGAAAGCAGGTAGACACTGTTGAAGTTCTCTTCCCACAAAACCTATTTCATAGCATAGACTTGTATTTTGTCAGTTAGTCTCTGCGAAGGAGCGGGTTAGGGAGTGATATAGTAATTCATTTGAAAATCAAGGTATTTTTTCGGGGAGACCTTTGGGCCCTGAGTAGCCTACAAGACCGGGATCTTGTCAAATGAGGGTCCCCCACATTAAAGTATACGGTCACTCTTCTTCCCACCTCCCATGCAAATCTACAAGTCAAAACTAATTTTGCTCCCAAATATGCTAAAATATTATGTGTGCACAAGGCTGTAGGCTACACATCCCTGTTCCTTAACCTCAGCAACTTGAAGCGGGGTGGACTTCAACTCCCAGAATTCCCCAGCCAGTTAAGGAACACTGCTGTAAATGAACTCTGTATGCATTAAATAACACCACCAATTTTTAATGTCACTCTCCTAGTTTTGAGTGTGTCAAGAAGCCGTGTCCGATTTCCGCGGGAAAATGCCAATTTAGATGGTTCCACGTTTCTGATACCCCCTCCCGTTCCTTACTTTTTTCCCTTGGCAAACTGACTTGTAAATACCTTTATGAACATAAAAAATAATTTGTACTTGACTGTAGGATCGGAAGGATTTGTGTTGTATCTTACCTGAAAGTGTAATAAAAGTGTACATTTTTATAACGTTCTTGTAATTGTGGTTACCTAATGTGTGTTTTGTCTCCTCAGGCTTTCCTCACTATGACATTTAGGGAGATGGAGCCTTAAATCTTGAAAGTTTTTCAAAATAGGTCTGGCCTCGCCACCTTATCGTCCACACGATGTAAAATTGTTCCGTTGTGTTGAAACTTTGCTAGCTCTGCACAGTTAAAAAAAAACCCTATGCAATATCCCAACTGAATATTCTCATATTTCCTCGTCAGCCTTGAGGGATGTTTTAAAGAGAAGAATTTTAAAAATACATGTCTTCGTTTTCTCTGTTCCCGTTTGATTTGTATTCGTTCTTATTATCGTTCTTAAAAAGTTATAATAATATATACAGCAGTGGCCAAAATTGTGGAAACCTTTTGGGAAAAGTGTATTTTTGAGGTTTGATGGCTAACACCACCACTTTTTTTTTTGGAGTAGTACCATAAAATTATATATCAATGGAAAGATTATTTAATCAAGGATGTAATGCAACATAGTTTGTTCAATTATCCGTACGGTATTCCATGAAAACTTGTAGCCAAATAACCAGAAAACGGAAGCATAACTTGCTTTAGGTGGATCTCAGGTAGCTTTCCTTCCTCTGATTGCAACCAATGAGCATGACTGTTTAGAGAGCCAATCAAGTGTCATCTTGTTTTGGTAATGAGCCAATCAATCACAGTAGGATCCAGTTATTGATCTCCTGTATTGAAGCCGAGAGGAGAACATTTGTCAGTGTGTTATGTGATGGCTATCGTGTTGGTTGGGTTTTTTTGTGTGTTCTTTCATTGAGTGAGCTTGTCAAACGTAATAAAATTAAAGTCATGGTGCAAAGAGTTGACTGGTCGCCCAGAAAGCGATGTAAAATAGTATTATGAAGTGAACAAGGCTACAGTGATAAAGAAATTAGAAGAAAAATGAGTGGAAACTTAACCAAAGGTGACATTTCTACTGTACGCTTTTCCCAAAAGGTTTTCCACAGTTTTGGCCACTACTGTATGGCATGGTGGGGGGAGAGACCAGGGGGAGGAATAGGCGATGCTCCTTTAGAAGCATCTTCTTTGCCCAGCCAGATGTGCTAGATTCCCAACCCAGTGTTTCCACACCTGGAATACCGCATCTGGTGTTGGTCCCCACATTACAAAACAGATGTTGAGACTTTGGGAAAAAGTGCAGAGAAGAGCAACTGAGATGATCAAAAGCCTGGAGACTAAAACATATAAAGAACAGGATTTGGGTTTGGCTAGTCTAGATAAAAGAAGGACTGGGGAGGGGGACAGGATAACAGAGTTCCACTATTTTAGGGGCTGCCACAAAGAAGAGTGGGGGGGTGTCGACCTATTTTTCCAAAGCAGCAGAAGGCAGAGACAAGAAGCAACGGATAGAAACTGACCCAAGGAGAAAAGCAAGCTGGAATTAAGGAGAAACTTCCTAACGGTGAGGACTATTAACCAGTGGGACAGCTTGCCACCAGAAACTGCGGGGGCTCTCCATCACTGGAGGTTTTGAAGAAGAGCCTGGACAGTCACTTGTCTCAAATGGTCTAGGGCAGGGGTAGGCAACCTCGGCTCTTTGATGACTCGTGGACTTCAACTCCCAGAATTCCTGAGCCAGCATGGGGGAAACTTTGGCCCCCTCATGACTCATGGACTTCAACTCCCAGAATTCCTGAGCCAGCATGGGGGAACTATGGCCCCCTTATGACTCATGGACTTCAACTCCCAGA